CTCAGACAACATAATCACATGACATCACCTTTAAAAAAAACACTCAGACAACATAATCACATGACATCACCTTTAAAAAAAAACACTCACACAACATAATCACATGACATCACCTTTAAAAAAACACTCACACAACATAATAACATGACATCACCTTTAAAAAAACACTCACACAACATAATAACATGACATCACCTTTAAAAAAACACTCACACAACATAATCACATGACATCACCTTATTAAAAAACAATTAACAGCACATGCCAGAGACCGGTGTCTGAAAGCAGACGGCAGACTTGCAGATGCCCGCATGGGGTGCTTTAAAACCGCCAAAGGTGAGCTCAACATCTGCCTCACGCGATGACCTTGAACGCGCGCTCATCCATTACAACCGTCCAGTTTTGTTACATCAGGGGCTCGCGTCTCGCCAGGTAGACTTTTTGTTTTCTAAACAATTTTAAACCCCCACCCCCAGCTCTAAACATCACTCCCCCCCCCTTCCCATTATAAAAACTAAAGCGAACTTTCTGGAAAAGGCTCACTCTCTAGCATCCTTGACCTTGGTATGATGATGAACTCACCACGTGAGTCATCCTGTTTTTGTTTTGCCAGTTTAGCCAGCAGGAATTCACTTCCGGTTGTTTGGAAATATCCGAGCGAGTTCTTCGAGTTACCCGCAAGATATTCGAGACGTTTCGACTATGTACCGGTTAAAATGGTTTGGGTATTAACTTTACAGCTTCTCTAGGGTCATACGAATGTATACAGTAATGATCTTAGCTGCAATATAGTCTTGTTTGATATTTCTGTACGAATTCACTCTGTTGCATTGTCTCATTCAGTTGCATTGTTGCTATGCACTAATTCACAAACTGAAAAGACGTCATACACATGTACACACTAATTATCATACTTGCGATAATGAATGACGACAAGCAAATAGTTCTCCACTAAATCACTCGGCTGCAATGACGTCATACACATATTTCTTCACTAATTCACTCAGATGTAATTACTTCTTACACACATATGCACGAATCTGACTAGCACTGACGTCTCTGAAATGCATGCACTATTTCACTAAGCTGGACTTATTTCACGGACGCGCCCTAACTAAACCATCACTGTGTACTCACGTCCCCTCCCTACAATATGTTTTAACTAACCCCAAGGGTACCCTCAACGTCATATAAAATTCATCACATCGCTACAGATTCTTCTAGAATGGTAGGCCATTAAAGATAAATTAAGAGTAAAAAAAATATAAAAACACTCAAACTTTGAGATTTTTAAAAAAGATATTTAAAAAAAAAAATATCCAGCTTTAAATTTTTCAAAATCTGGATATGTTAGGAATTTCCGGTTGATTAAAAAAAAAATTTAAAAAAAAAACATGAAAAAAAGACTACATAAAAAGTGAATGAATAAATAAATCAGTGTTTGACATTTTATTGAATACATCCGCTTAGAATGTTCATATCCGTCTCGTTAAAGACAAATTCAATACTAGACTAGAAAAACATGTTACATTATGTCTTAAATGTCTTCAAATTTCATCATAACAGTTACTTATCTTTTTTTTTATTTAATAGATACTGTTTTAACCCGAGCAGCAACTATAAATACACCACCCAGCATCAAGTATATCAATGTATTATTATGTGTGGTTATAAATATTTATTTATGTTTTACCTTAGGGCAAAATATTTCTGGAGACGAGAATTCCGCTTTTTTTTTATCGTCATGGAAATATTCCGAGGGAGAGGAATTCGATTTCGTTATTTGCTGCTCCGTGGTGTGACGTGGGGCGTGATTGAGTAAAGTTGCTTGTCGATGTGTGCGTGTGTGCGTGTGAGTGTACGTTTGTGCGGCTGTAAAGACGTGAACGTTCGCTGGTCGTTGAGTGAGTGTGTACGCGTGCATGTGTGAATGCGAATTTGAGTGTGAGTAAACAGACGGTTGTTTGTTGTACTGAAGTTTAGTTCTTCAAAACGGCAACATTATTTATAACAGCTGCTCATTTACACGAAAAAAAAAAAATAAAAAAAAAAAAACAACATAATTGATAAACATGAAAAATAGTTTGAAACTAAAAATATGTTTAGGGTAAAATATTAAAAAATATGCTGTAAATTTAGTCAGTTTTTATGGTGTTAATAAACATGGTTTTAAATATATTTATACAATTTTATATTTCGTGCATTAGAAATTAGAGGTATTTTACAGATTGAGCCACTGCATCCCTATGGATCATGTAAATTATCTATATGCTACTAAAATTAAAACACTTAAACAGAAAGTAATAAAACTTGGTGGTAAACATCACAATTTAATAGTAATTATTTAATATTCAAATATTCTACCATGTACCATAGTGAAATATTTAATGTTTAGTAACGTGATTAATCATCCAGTAAACATCACAGTTCATGAGTAATTATTAACGATTAACATATTTAACAATGGACCTTCATAAAATATTTTGTATTCAATATCATGACTAATTATCCAACTCTGTCGTCATGAGTTATCTCCTTTGCTAAGATTGCTGTATAATGTAGCCTACTTTATTTTCAATGTTTCTTTAAGACTTTTTTCTCCCGGGGGGGGGGGGGGGGGGAGAAAGAAGACTAAAATTTTCGGGGGGGGGGGGGGGTGGGGGGGTGGGCGGACACTGTTAAAAGTGTATTTTTTTCTATATAAATACAATTTTGTTCGGGGTAAGGGGGGGGGGGGCGGCATAGGGAAGAGATGCCTGGAAGGAACTCTGTTTATATTTCAAAAACTCGTGTGTTGAATTCAAAACACTCAACAAAAAGTAACAGCTAAATCGGTAGAAATATTTTTCTTTGATGACAAATATTTGGAGAAAAAATGCATGTATCTCATCGTACAAAAATCTTCACGATATTTTTCTAGATAAGGGTTTCCAATATCTAAAGGTCGAAAAGGGGAGGGGGTAGAGGGAGAGGAGTTAAGGAAGCCCTAATATAACCCCCCCCCCCCCATTACCTCCCCACCCCCTCCATCCTAGACAGATAGCATTAGACATATTAGAGCTATGACGTCGGTTCGCCTTGACCGCAGAAGCACATTTTTTTTTTCTTCTGGATCAAATTGGATTTCTTGGTGAGCGATCGGAAATTGGGTTGGAGAAACGTGACCTACTTTAGGCGCGTAGTCTCGGATGTAAAAGGCTAAAAGTGGTTGTCAAATAAATGGGCGTAACTCATTTGGTCCCGAGGATAACTAGCCCGACGTAGAGAGACTATTCCCAGCGGCTGGCTTGTTGGTACAAAAATAAAACGTGTCTCCGTCTAATGGAAGATACTTAATATAGAATACAAGAGTGTAATGTATGAAAGATAAAAACGAGAAAATTATTGAACGGGTTTCTGGTTTGAGGTAACACGTTACATCTTTATAATTTTTCTTTATAATTTATAATGACAAAGTGCACGGAAATAATTATGTTGACTAAAATAGACACGTCAACGTGTTATTTTTAAATAGCTCAATGTTTTGTAAATGAAGAATTTTATTGAAGAAAAATAATCTTTTTTGTTTCTCTTTCTAATGCCGAGTGCTAAGTAAAAATATAAGTAGATTTACGTGGTTAAAGGAAAAACAGCTCATCACAGAATAACTCAGTATAAAATATATCAGGACAAAATACCTAAGGACAAAATCTCAGCAAAACATATCTCAAAGATGAAATATCTCCAAATAAATATCCCTAGTGGTGAAGTTTAAAATGAGACCGTCGGTATTCGAACCCAAATCTTTCTATTCATCTAACAAACGCTAACTCCCATTACCACACCGCCCCCACAGGTATCCAAAAGTAGATTCTTTACTGCTAGAGACTGGAGACCAAAGCACGGCAGCCATTCCACTAACCTCAGACCTGACTTTGGGGTATGTAGAGAAATGTTTACTGCCATAGTACAGGGTACCCCTCGTCAACACGTTAATTATCTCGCGAATGTTTATAATTAAAACAAGAGCGTTGATCGTCCTAGCTTTCCCCCTGACGCCACCCCCCTCCCCTCCCTGAATCATGTGACTTGTAAAGTAAAAGAAGTCTCACTGAATCCGAATCTCCCCCTCCCCTCCTCTACAAACATACACCACACACACACACACACACACACACACACACACACACACACACACACACACAGACAGGCACACACAGACAGACACAGATACACCCACACACACGACCTGCTGGGACTCGTAAAACAGTATCGCTGTAATGTCTTCCTCTGTGCCCTATTCCCACACACGAACAAACTTCCCCCCACCCCTCCCTCGAGTCACTCACCCCCCCCCCCCCCCCCCCGACGATAGTCAAATTGTTATGAATGTTAGGCTTCCTCTAGTAGAATTTGTTGGTGTGTCGTTAAAGTGTCGACTGGTAACTGGTACTTGACTTGTTTTTCTTTTACTTACGTAGATCATGGGTTGATCCGTGACTTAATCGTGAACCAACTTGGAGCTAAAACATGGACTGCCATGGAGCTAAACATTGACCCTTTAAAGCTAAATCATCGGCTCCCTTGGAGCTAAACGTTGACACGTTGGAGCTAGAACATAGATTTACCCTGAAGCTTAAACATTAACTCCCACTTTGAACTAGAAACATGGACACTGGAGCTAAGGCATGAACTTCCCCTGGAACTACAAATATGGACTCCCCCATGAACTACAAACATGGACTCCCCCATGAAATACAAACATGAACTCCTATATGAACTACAAACATGAACTCCACCATGAACTACAAACATGAACTACCCCATGAACTACAAACATGAACTACCCCATGAAATACAAACATGAACTCCTATATGAACTACAAACATGAACTCCTCCATGAACTACAAACATTAACTCCTCTATGAACTACAAACATGAACTCACCCATGAACTACAAACATGGACTCCCCTATGAACTACAAACATGAACACCCCCATAAACCAAACATGGACTCACCCTGAAAACGGAGCAGCTCCTCCTCCCCATACGACCTCCTGTTGATGGTGGGAGCCCCGTGGCGCGTGCGATGACGTGTGTACACAATGTAGCCCAGTGGATTATCTCCCTTAATCCTTTTGCTGATGTTGGTGATGAGTTGCTCCACGGCTTCGTCAACTGTGGATAGTGGATAGTGGATTCATGAGCAAAATAGTGGATAATTAGATAGTGGATTGGTGGATTTATGAGCAAAATAGTGGATAATTGGATAGTGGATTGGTGGATTTATGGGTGTAGTGCGTTGGTGGATGTATGGGAGAAATAGTGGATGTGGGTAGTCGATAGGTGGATTTATTAGCGAAATAGTGGATTAGTGGATATTGCATTGTTTAATATATGAGCGAAATAGTGGATAAGTGAATTATTTAGGATAGTGCTTTGGAGTATGCACAAATGATAAGTGGGTAGTGTATTGTTTGATTTATTTGCAAACGATTGGAAAATTGCTTAATGAATGTGTCTATTTATGAGCAAAGAAATAGTCAAGTGTATAACGGGTTTGTGGATTTATGATCAAAGCGATGGATGTGGATATCAAGTCAAGGTTGGTGAATTTTTAAACAACGGAGTGGACAATTTGACAGTTTGGATTGGTGGATTGATAAGTATGGGAACGGATAAGAAGTTTATAAATCGATTAGTTGGTTGAAAAGCAAGGAAGAATAGATGATACATTTTTATCTGTTGGTGACTTTTAATACATTGAGGATTTGGTGATACATTGTCTATCTGTTGGTAAAGTTCATTAAATTGAGAAATGGGTGATACATTGCCTATCTGTTGGTAAAGAAGTTCATTTAATTGAGGAATGGGTGATACATTGTCTATCTGTTGGTAAAGTTCATTAAATTGAGGAATGGGTGATACATTGTCTATCTGTTGGTAAAGTTCATTAAATTGAGGAATGGGTGATACATTGTCTATCTGTTGGTAAAGTTCATTAAATTGAGGAATGGATGATACATGGTCCATATATTGGTGACCACTAATTGGGACATAATTAATGCAAAATCAAGTTAATGAGCAGGTTTAACATTGGAAAGAAAAACATGTTTGGAGAAACACCTGCTCCAGTAATTACTTTAATTAGTTAATTACAGGCGTCCGTTTTATTACGATCTAATTACATGGATGGATGGCATCAAACAAGATATTTGTAACAAACTGACGGCTGACTAGACACATCGGTACATGGAATAGAATCAGTCGGTCACATCTATACAGATACATCTATCGTACACAAACTGACGGCTGACTAGACACATCGGTACATGGAATAGAATCAACCGGCCACATCTATACAGATACATCTATCGTACACAAACTGACGGCTGACTAGACACATTGGTACATGGAATAGAATCAACCGGCCACATCGATACAGATACATCTATCGTACACAAACTGACGGCTGACTAGACACATTGGTACATGGAATAGAATCAACCGGCCACATCGATACAGATACATCTATCGTACACAAAATGACAGGTTAATGAGAGGTGTATTGTATAGTACTGACCGGTAACGTCTTTTAAACATTATTAAACGATTTTTACCTCATCTTTTTGTCACACATCGTCATAAAAAGCCTTAACACCCCCAAAATTTAATATGACGTCACACCTCCCCATTTTTTAGAAAAATGGCAATATTTGTTTTGTTTTTTTAAATATCGATTTTATTTTTTAAAATATTGACTGAGCTCGGTCAAAATTAATTATGTAATCAATTTTAATTCCAGTGAAAAAAAAGTTAGGTTTCTGACATTGCTTTTTAAATTGCAAAAAATGTGGCGTCACATTTTCCGAAACTTTCCTCCTCCCCAGCGTCGCATGTGATCACAAAAGCTCGACCTACCCCCCCCCCCCCCCCGTCCCTTAACCCCTTCTTTCTGTCTTAGCAGAGCTATATCGGTATGAACTACCCCTTAGGCCGATCTTCTAGAACTGACCAGCTACCAACAAAACATTTAAGTCCACCTTAACGAACTGAGTCCACCATGATGGGTACTTCACGCAAAGTAAAGGCGGCTGGGCATAGTACTGACCACATTATCCTTATATATGCCGATATCACTGAAACAGGTGAACTCTACTTCACTTGCCACATTGACCGTCAGAATCGAATAGGAGCTAAACTTTAATGAACTAACCGGTTAAAGACATGTAGGTCATCAACCTTAATCAACAGACCAGATAATTAAAGGGTAACACGTCACAAGGACAAACGACCCTAGGTAAGTCTTGTCACCACCCGCTAGTGACAGATCCAACTGCCATCAATGACTGTGTTGTCACATTGAGGGGTGGGGGTGTGACAGTACAAGATCCGTATTCCTTACATTGTCCTATTTACCAGCTGGTCGGAGCGATAGCGCGCACGGCTATAAACACGAAGGTCTAAAGTTCGAACACCGGTGACAGCTACATCTTCATACGTCTGGGGAATATTGTACCGGCCACGCTCTTCTAACAAGTCTCGAATGTAGAACAACTCTACTTCGTCTGCTCGCTATAATAATATAGACCCTAATATCACTCTATGGCCAAAGAAGGTCCCTAGTATGTATTCAGCTTGACACAAATTCCATCCCTGACCATATTAGTATTCGTGTTCCACCATTTTGTTATAGATCGACTATTTATAGCCCAAAACAACACCATCACCCTCTCCCAACTTATATTTTTGGAAGGAGGGGAAGGGGAGGTGAACTAGACATATATGTCACGTTCCCATCTCCCACGACCCGGATATTCGAACTTTGACCCGCTTGTAGTTATCGCCCCTAGCAATGACAGAAACTTAGCGCGGCTAAAGTTACAATTTTACTCAAAGATGTAATGATGTGGTAAGGTGGGGGGGGGGGGGGGGTCTTTGGTGGGTGGGGTATAGGATCAGCGGGTGAGTAGTGGGGTGGGGGAGTAACACGTTACATAAACATTTGAATTTCTTTTTGTTTTTTATCAGATGAATCATAATGTCGGCCAGATTTTAAAAAAAAATGTGAAAGTTTGGCAGCTTCAACGTGACATCGTGAGAGTCGGTAGTAAAGGTTAGACGGTGGGTGGGGGTTAGGAGTGGGGTGGGGGGATTAGGGGAGGGGTAAAAGTCACGTTAATAATCAATTTCTTTACAAATCTCAAAGGGGAAAATATGAAAGGTGTTTGATTAAAAATGTACACGAAGATCTAAGAGTACATAGATAGCTTGAGCTTTGTTTGAAGAACGAGGATAGAAAGGAGGGATAGGGTGGGGGAAGGAAAGTTGTGGATAGGCCCAAATGCATATTTATGCTGATCCTTGCAACAATATTTACAAGCATTCGTCATTTTAACTGCTTCAACTGCTCCTCCAGATAGGTCTAGTATAATGTACATGCTTCAAATTTCACGTCAACTTATTTGATAATGGCGTGGTCGAATGATAGAGCTTTTAACTGCGAACCGAAAAGTCTCGAGTTCGGGTCCCAGACTAGAGTCGTAGCACGTCTCTGAGTCCACCCAGCCGAGGTGTACTCTACTTCACCTGCCCCATGGGCCGTCAGGTTCGAAAGGTTACTTTATTTATTTTATAATAAAAAATAAAATAAAAATTCTAATAACAATCATGATTTGGATTAAACGAATATCCTTGTTTCAACTCTTTATTTGCAATAACCGTAGCTTTTTTTAGACTCATTTCAGGGGTCGGTGTGGCCGAGTCGGTACAGCTCATCGTTGCTAAACCGAAAAGTCTCGAGTTCAACCCCTCATGCAGATGAGGATCGTTAGCTGGGGCAACTCTTCTATGAGAGACCACTCCAAAATCAAAGAACTATAGCCTTGTAGTTTATTAAAATATAAAAAGAAAAGCAGGATGAAATCGGAGTCAATGGCCTCAATGGCGTATAACCAGTTGACACGTATCCTTATTTGTGTTGGAGGAGATCCCTTCCAACACTAAAATTAAGAAAGAAGAAAAAGAAGAAGATACTCACTTTGCAAAATATCACAACACTTACTACTTCGTCTTTAAAAAACTTAAACTTCACCAAACGTGTTCTCTACAAAACAGCGAATCAAATACTCACGTTTGATCCCCTGCCTCAGGTCTTCAACAGAGATATCCTGGCCCATGTTCCAAACACACTCAGACGGACACAGCAAACGGTTTGATGAAAGTCATCCCACACTGTACCTCACCACTGTTCTTAAGATTCATTTGCGCCAAAGTTAATCTTCCAACTTTTATATAAACCTAATTGAATTAATTTTTTTTTAGTTTTAAGAATCTCCTTCTGAATAATTAAGCCGTTAATTAATAAATTTTAACGCCCTTCCAAACACGAATGTGAAATTTTTTCCGTGAATTAGAACAAGTTTCTCTCTTATTTTCGAATTAGATATCCTCTAAACTGCAACTTTGTCTGCATTGTTTTCCATTTCAATGGACACAAGAATTCGCCGTATTGATTTTATACGAATGCTGCAAATATAGGCCTATTTATTTTAAAAAAGGTTTCCAGCGAAGAAAATGTTTTTATTCCTAATTGGTTCAAATGAATTTTATCCGTTGCTATGGTTACGCCAAAACAGAAGTGTCCTTCCGACTAGCATGGCTAGAGAAAATAAACGCACGATCTGAAATATAAAAATAAATTTATTAGACAGAGGCACTTAAGGCATGTTTTGAAATCAGCAATGTTATGGCTAACGTTATGTTTGCAGTGGAGAAATCTAGCTAGATCTGTGTGTTTGTTATTGTTATAAAACTCGATTTCAGCCAAACCCCACCCATCCCCTACACCTCTTTTATATAGACTTGTATTCAGTGTGCTAAAGGGGGAAAATAGAAATATACGAGCAGCATCAGCATACATTCACAGGATGGCGCTGAGATTCTGTAAGAGCAAAATCATTTGCAAGTTCCCTAGAGCAAAGGCATGTCCAACATGTTCCCTAGACTAGAGTAAAGGCATGCCAGACAGGTTCCCTAGAGTAATGATTCCCTGAATCAACGCTAGGCCCAACAGTCCCTCCCCTTCCCCAATGATAACACTGAACTCAACAAATACATTACGGGCTTAAGATAAAACTGCATGAACCCTAAAGTAATGTCAAGGTCAAGTAGAGAAATAGAATAGTTGTAACAAATGACACAAACCACGAAAAAAATGAAGTTTAATTAAGTCACAGAATTCTTAAATTTGCCGAGATTAGCACAAATGTTATACTACTTTAAATGTTGTATTTACTTAAATCCTCGCGACTATTTATGGATTAAATCTATGACTTGCTTAACGGCTATTGGCGAGTACAAATAAAGGACATCAAGGTCAGTATATTCAAAGCTGACATCCCACTTTAGTAACAGATGTTTGTATGGTACGTTTAACGCTAGTGTTTACCCGAGGTACTGATAGCTTATCCATACCCTACTTCACAGTGGGATATAAGGTCAAGGGTTAAATTTAGGTTTAGGGGTAGAGGTTTAATTAGGTTTTTAATTTGGATCAGTGCTAGCAATAGTTTCTATAGCAGTAGCGAGGATTATAAAACATTTTATATTAACAGATAGGTTCAAAATGCTATTATTGCATAATGAAAATAAAAAATGACGTAATTTTTTTTTCTAGTTCTAAAACTATATGGGTCGTAGAAAGTGAACAGCCTCAGGTTCTATAATCGTAAATAACCATGGCGTGACAGAAATAGCTTCATCACTAAAACAATTTGTAAATATGCTATCACTGCATTCTACAATTGATTTGACATTTTGCTAACGGGAGTGAGTCTGGTTGTTTATTTTTAACACAAGGAGGTATGGGATAATAGGTTCATTCAAGTATGAGTTAGTGTCTCTTTTGTTTAATTACTTTGGGAGGGTTAGAAGAGTTTTTAAGTAAAGGTGGTTCGGATAATCAATGGTTGTTTAAATGAGTAGGTTAAAGCAGTGATTGATGGCAATGATACAAACACACAAGCACAAACAGACGTACAAATAGACCTACACACTCAATTGGATTTTTTTTTTAAATCGACGACAGCAATACCTAATGCAAACTTAAACCTCAATCATTATGGAATTTAATTTTCAAAAGTTCCAAGCACCAAACAGTACAGCTCCTAAGTAAGTCATCTATACGATCTTTGACTCACGATTTGATTGAAGCAGTTTTAAGAGAAATATTAAAAACCCTAAGGCCAAAAAAAAAAAAACGAACATTGAAACACAAATGAATTAGACACATTAGACTAACATAACTAGAAGCCTTAGACAAATATAAAGATAGGTTTAGACCGTATCAAAACTAAATTGTAGACAAATATAACTAGGGGCCTTAGACAAATATAAAGATAGGGTTAACACATGTAAAAATAGATTGTAGACAAATATGACTAGAGGCCTTAGACAAATATAAAGATAGGTTTAGACACATATCAAAACTAAATTGTAGACAAATATAACTAGAGGCCTTAGGCAAATATAAAGATAGGTTTAGACACATATCAAAACTAAATTGTAGACAAATATAACTAGAGGCCTTAGAGAAATATATCTAGATATCCTAGACAAATATAACACGCAGCCTCTGACAAATACAAAAAGACCGCAAAAAACATTGCTCAATGTCTCTTCTATAGCTGGCACTCCATAGAAATTCACTTACTGCGCCCTATCTTCAAGAGATACTTCTGGAAAAAAAAAAAACCCTCGCCTATTACATCGTATTGCATTTCTAGAAAGTAGGGGAAAAAATGTCCCTTCATTCGTCTCCATTATTGATGGCTTTTCCTCCCCCTTGTCAAGTTCTCCTGAGGCCGTTGATAAAAGGTTTTTAAAACATCCCCTTCAATTTGTCAAGGAAGTAAGACATAGAAAGAACTTATTGACCAGGTCTAGCGACTTATTGAAAAAAACCTTACTACGTTGTAATTATTGGTGGGATTTATGTTTTATTTCGATGCGTCAAAAATTGATGAATGGAAAATGAAATAAGGAAATTTTGTCGGGAATTACCGTGGAAATCAATAGTGTTTTGCGCGGCAGGTACTACAACTCGGTGTCGATAAATGTAACAAACCCAAGGATGGATAGGTCGGCGGGGAATTCTTAGGTGAGTCTGACTATACAGAGGTGCCAGCATACGAACTAAACTTACTCAGACAACAAAGCAATCGACAGAGTAGATAAGAACATTACCAAAAGATAACGAGTCCTTGTCCTAACCGTTATTTTACCTGCTTAGAGAAAACATTTTTTAAAAAAAAACTTAATATTTGAATGTGTAACTTTTTAAAAAGTGTATCAAAATTAAAGTACTTTTCACAAAAATTAATCACATCATGTAGAGTTTAATAAACGAAAGCAAAATATAATCGTAAATTAACGCTTAAAGTTAGTCGTAAACTAAACTTTAACCTCCTAAGTTAGGCCCTAACCAAGCACTCAAAAAGATACAACACTCGGGTTATTTTTTATTATCATACATAAGCAATTACGTTAATTGGTACAATACGTATTTCATTTTTTCTCTAAAAATCCTACTAAACGTAGCACATTGGATATAATCATAAACAAACCTAAACATAACCCTAATTGAAACCTAACGTAAACGCGAATACTAACCCAAATCTGCCTAACCCGATTGTACCCAACCACAGGACTCCAACATTACAACATTAATATATAAAAAAACAATAAAAAACACAACTTACACGTTCCTTTCTCCACGCTAAAACTTAACAACCAAACATATACACCAACTCTAGTCTCCAAATCGTCTTCTTTTTTCCCCGAAAATCAAACGAAAACACATAATCCACTTAAGAAACTACTTCAACGTTTATCGAGAATGTACCCCATGAATGACACCCGAACTCGACGTCCAAAAATAAAAACTTAAAATCAAACAGCAGAAACTATCGCCCACTTCGATTAGCCCGCGTCTAATCAAGTCCATCCATCCTTTAGACAACAACGACGCTATTGACGAACATGTAAGCCAGTCAACCATTGTAACGGCTCACAGCAAAAGGGATTAATTAATTATCTCTTTTGTTGATCGTCGCGTGAAACACTGCCCGGACATCTTGACCTGATTTTAATTTTTTTTTAAATATCCGTGTTGTTTTGCTGGGGAGAAACGAAACAATTTGCTGTCTAGTTTTGTAGTTGTTTCCTACTAGATTTATTTTTACATCGTACAACGATGACAAGTAGCTTCGTTAAGCTGGGGAGAAACGAAACAATTTGCTGTCTAGTTTTGTAGTTATTTCCTACTAGATTTTTTTTTACATCGTACAACGATGACAAGTAGCTTCGTTAAGCTGGGGAGAAACGAAACAATTTGCTGTCTAGTTTTGTAGTTATTTCCTACTAGATTTTTTTTTACATCGTACAACGATGACAAGTAGCTTCGTTAAGCTGGGGAGAAACGAAACAATTTGCTGTCTAGTTTTGTAGTTATTTCCTACTAGATTTTTTTTTACATCGTACAACGATGACAAGTAGCTTCGTTAAGCTGGGGAGAAACGAAACAATTTGCTGTCTAGTTTTGTAGTTATTTCCTACTAGATTTTTTTTTACATCGTACAACGATGACAAGTAGCTTCGTTAAGCTGGGGAGAAACGAAACAATTTGCTGTCTAGTTTTGTAGTTATTTCCTACTAGATTTTTTTTTTACATCGTACAACGATGACAAGTAGCTTCGTTAAGCTGGGGAGAAACGAAACAATTTGCTGTCTAGTTTTGTAGTTATTTCCTACTAGATTTTTTTTTACATCGTACAACGATGACAAGTAGCTTCGTTAAGCTGGGGAGAAACGAAACAATTTGCTGTCTAGTTTTGTAGTTATTTCCTACTAGATTTTTTTTTACATCGTACAACGATGACAAGTAGCTTCGTTAAGCTGGGGAGAAACGAAACAATTTGCTGTCTAGTTTTGTAGTTATTTCCTACTAGATTTTTTTTTACATCGTACAACGATGACAAGTAGCTTCGTTAAGCTGGGGAGAAACGAAACAATTTGCTGTCTAGTTTTGTAGTTATTTCCTACTAGATTTTTTTTTACATCGTACAACGATGACAAGTAGCTTCGTTAAGCTGGGGAGAAACGAAACAATTTGCTGTCTAGTTTTGTAGTTATTTCCTACTAGATTTTTTTTTACATCGTACAACGATGACAAGTAGCTTCGTTAAGCTGGGGAGAAACGAAACAATTTGCTG